CTCAGTGCTCCTCGGAGCATGCGACGGGATAGACGGGATAGAGCGGTGCTGTGTGGAGCCCCCACGCAGTCAACTCCTTCCTTTCTGACCCGGAGCGTTTTGGAGGTGTTTCTGTGGTGCAGGTGTCCTCAAGGCCAGACCGCGGGACTTGGTGACACGGAGCTTTGGCAAGGTGTCCCCAACCCCTGTGACAAGTGCCCTTGAGGCCGCGCTGCACAACTTGATAACCCATAGCGTTTCCTAGGCTTTTCTCTCCTTCAGTTGCCCTCGAGGCCAGACCGCAGGATTGGTGACCCGGAAATTTTCCGGGGAGTCTCCAATCCTTGCGGAAGGTGGCCTCGAGGGCAGCCTGCAGGACTTGGTGACCCGGAGATCTTCCGAGGTGTCTCTCTCTTGCAGGTACCCTCAAGACCAGACTGTGGGATGCTAGGAAGACGCCTGAGCCTGCTCAGGCCCTTTCGGAAGAAGAAGGAAGGCCCTGGGACTACTCCAGCACAGCAGTCTGAGGAGGTGGAGCAGTTCCAGCCCCTGCAGGAGGGTGAGTGGCAGAGCTGGGCCACAGGGCTGGTGGCTGCAGCCAGATGGGCCTCTTCCCATCCCATCCTCTATGGACATGGCCAGGGAAAGGGAGGGGCGAAGAGGGCCTGGGGCTGTTCCCCCGGCAGCTCCATGCACTGGGCAGGCCAGGGCTGGCCCTGCCTGCGGAGCACAGGGCTGGGCTGTGTTCTCTGGCCTGTCCCGCAGCCCCTCAGCTCTGACCACGCTCACTCTTTACCAGATCCAGGCCAGAACCAGACACAAGAGCAGGACCGTGCCCGTGGCCGCTTCCGCCGGACAGTACAGGTGCCAGCAGCCATCCCCCCCCTGGGCTGAGCATGCTGTCAGCCTGGCACCACTATTGGAGCTCTCCATGATACATCCCTCTCTTCCCTGCCCTTCGTTCTCCCGCAGGGCTTTCTGAAAATGTTGGGCGTTCGGCGTAGAAAGTACAGAATCACACCAACTGAGGTCATGGCACAGCCTGACCCAATGCCAGCTGAGCTCAAGGCGGACCCTGATGTCGGCACCGTCTCAATTGATGGCACAGCAAACTGTGACACCGCGGTGACCGATCACGTGACAAATTCCAACACGGCACTGCCTGAGCTCACCATGGAGGCTGATGGTGCAACGACTGAGGGCATCGCAGATGCTGACAGCACACCCATTCAGCGCCTGCCAGATGCTCTCATTCTGGATATTCTTGACGAGGGAGTTATCTCTGTGGAAGTAAGCAGCCTGTGGCTAGGAACTGTCTGGCCCCTCAAGCTGGGTCTGCTGGGCCCCCTCAGCCTCTGAGGCTCGCACAGTGTGGTGGGAAGGGAAGGACTTCTCGGGGGCAGCTGGGGAATTGCTCCCTCTGGCAGCTGTAAGTGCCCCATGTCCTCTCCAGGCCAGACTGCGGGACTTGATGACCTGGAGCATTCCAAACAGTCCTCTGTTGCAGATGCCTTCAAGGCACTTGTGCAGGATTTGGTGACCAGAGATTTCCATGCCATGTCTCCTGCAGGAAACCATGAACCAAGACAGAGACATGGAGTGGAGACCCCCCAGGGTGCTCAAGCTGACCTGGGTGAAGAAAGCAGAGGAGGAAAGCCCTGGGGCTGCCCCAGCACTGCAGCCTAAGAAGGTGGAGCAGTTCCAGCCCCTGCAGGAGGGTGAGTGGCAGAGCTGGGCCACAGGGCTGGTGGTTGAAGCCAGATGGGCCTTTTCCCATCCCATCCCCTATGGACATGGCCAGGAAAAGGGGAGGGGGAAGAGGGCCCACGGTTGAGCCCCCCACAGCTCCATGCACTGGGCATGCTGGGGCCATCCCTGCCTGTGGAGCGCGGGGCTGGGCTGTGTTCTCTGGCCTGTCCCAAAGCCCTTCAGCTCTGACGACGCTCACTCTTTGCCAGATCCAGGCCAGAACCGGGCACAAGAGCAGGACTGTGCCCGTGGCCACTTCCACAGAGCTGATCAGGTACCTGTAACCATCGCCACCTGGGCTGGGCCTGCTGTCACTGCTCAGTCTGGCACCACTGTCAGAGCTCTCCATGGCATATCACTCTCTTCCCTGCCCATTGTTCTCCTGCAGAGAGTGCAGAAATCCAAGGGCATTCGGCGTAGAAAGACCAGGACATCACCAACCAAGGTCATGGCGCAGCCTGACCCTACACCGACTGAGCTCAAGGCAGACCCTGATGTCGGCACCGCCTCAATTGATGGCACAGCAAACTGTGACATGGCGGTGACCGATTACTTGACAAACTCAAACACGGCACTGCCTGAGTTCACAATGGAGGCTGATCATACAGGGACTGAGGGCATTGTAGATGCTGACAGCATACCTGTTGAGTACCTGCCCGATGCTCCCAGCCTGGACGCTCTTTGGGAGAGAGTTCTCTCTGCTCAAGTAAGCAGCCTGTGGGTAGGGACTGTGTGGGCCCTCTAAACGGGTCTGCTGGGCCCTCTCAGCCTTCGAGGCCACGACAGTATGGTGGGAAGGGAAGGACTCCTTGGGGGAAAGTGGACAAGTTGCTCCTTCTGGCAGCTCTCCAACTGCCCCATGTCCCCTACAGGCCAACCTGTGGAACTTGATGACTCAGAGCATTCCCAAGGCTCCTGTATAGCAAGTACCTTCAAGGCACTTGTGCAGAACTTGGTGAGCCAGGCTTCTCCATGCCATGTCTCCTGCAGGAAACCATGGACCAAGACAGAGACATGGAGCGGAGACCCCCCAGGGTGCCCAAGTTGGCCTGGGTGAAAAAAGGGGAGGAGGAAAGCCCTGGGGCTGCCCCAGCACTGCAGCCTAAGAAGGTGGAGCAGTTCCAGCCCCTGCAGGAGGGTGAGTGGCAGAGCTGGGCCACAGGGCTGGTGGCTGCAGCCAGATGGGCCTCTTCCCATCCCACCCCCTATGGACATGGCCAGGGAAAGGGAGGGGGAAGAGGGCCCATGGCTGATCCTCCCGCAGCTCCATGGGATGGGCATGCTGGGGCCATCCCTGCCTGTGGAGTGCAGGGCTGGGCTGTGTTCTCCAGCCTGTCCCACAACCCCTCAGCTCTGACCACACTCACTCTTTGCCAGATCCAGGCCAGCACCAGACAAAAGAGCAAGACCGTGCCCGTGGCCGCTTCCACAGAACTGATCAGGTACCTGCAGCCATCCCTCCCTGGGATGGGCCTGCTGTCACTGCTCAGTCTGGCACCACTGTCGGAGCTTTCCATGGCACATCCCTTTCTTCCCTACCCTTTGTTCTCTTGCAGAGGTTGCAAAAGTCTGTTCCTGTTCGCCGTAGAAAGACCAGGGCCTCACCAACTGAAGTCTTGGCAAAGCCTGAGCTCAACCCAACCAAGCTCAAGGCCAAGGTTGACGCCCCAGAGACTGAGGGCATCCCAGACGCTGACAGCACACCCATTCAGCGCCTGTCTGATGCTCGCAGTGTGCACGTTCTTGAGAAGAGAGTTGTCTCTGTGGAAGTAAGCAGCCTGTGGCTTGGGACTGTCTGGCCCCTCAAGCTGGGTCTGCTGGGCGCCCTCAGCCTCTGAGGCCAGCATAGCATGGTGGGAAGGGAAGGACTTCTCGAGAGATAGTGGGCAAATTCCTCCCTCTGGCAACTATTCAACTTCTCCATGTCCCCACCTGGCCAGACTATGAGATTTGATGACCCAGAGCATTCCCAAGGCTCCTCTGTTGCAGGAGCTTTCATGGCACTTCTGCAGAACTTGGTGACCCAGAGTGCCATGTCTCCTGCAGGAAACCACGAAGGCAGACAGAGACATGGAGCGGAGACCCCCCAGGGTGCCCAAGTTGGCCTGGGTGAAAA